ACCACTGCTATCTTCGGTACAGCTATCGCTATCAGAAATATCATAACTATCGTCCTCGTCTTCGTCACTACTCAATTCATGACCTGTTACTTGAGAAATGCGATATATATCCGTGTTCCAAAGCTTATTAATATCACTCTCTTTAAGGACAACTTTTCCTGTATAAATATTCTGTCTGATCCAAGCCCTTAATTTTACAGCATTGTGGCAAGCGCACACATAATCACCATGCGAATTCGTTTCTGCATGATACATACAAAAGCGCTTATTTTCTGGTAGACGCTTAAAACTGGGGATGTAATTTTCCAAATTGACGACCGTTCTTGATAAAAGTCTTTGTAAGAATACCAATTTTTCACGTCCTCGCACATAGATTCTAGCCACATTTTTTGTTGCTTGTTTAAGAATCTGGTTGATTGCCTTGTATGGTGTGTCACCATAATCCCATTCTAGGCGGTGGAAATTCGTAGTTAACCATAGATTTTGTCGACGAGCATCAAAATCCAATTCGATTTGTCCGTAGGGCGGTGCAACTGGCCAATGACCCGTATGATTCCCCTCAACTGAGAATATGGCAATTTCTTTAACTACAAAACTCTCTTTAGGCCCTACTAGCCCTTGTATGTCAATAACGACTTCTTTCAATTTATCGGTTGCCATCGTACCACTCTCAAATGCTGTCTCGTGTAGACTGATTCCTTATCACTGGTGTCTCGGGTTTTTATTCAGTGAAAAGCGGATGGCGCCGCTACCACTTCTGATTACTGCCAAGATGAGCTTTACACACCGTACAGTAATGATGCTGCGTTAAATATGTTTCAATACAGTATACGCAGGGTATAACACACCAAAACCCTAGCAGGAAAAGCGCTAGAGCAATTAAATGTGTTTTATTAGTTGCGATATTTATAATTTCGGTTACAATTTCTGCCCCACAATGGGGGCATGTTTTTTGTATTGGGTTGGGGCCATGGTCATTCATGGCTGCCTTCTTTCGGTGAATCCAGGACAAAACAATTTAGCTATTGTAATCGACAATTATCTGTCTCGTGGAATCGATTTCCAAGATATTATCGTACTCAGCATATAGAACACAATTCAAATTTGTTGTCGTAGCTTCATCAAAGTGCACCTCAATTCTCCGACTACCCGTTTTCACAAGATTCCAATGAGTAGCACAATTTGCTGATAAATCCGGAGTTAGGTCAAACGCAAAAAGACAGTAACCATTTGAATAATCCGATGGAGAAATATCTATTCCATGATCACTAAAATGAATACCAGTCCCATTAAATAACGTGCTATAACTTTCCGCCTCCATGTGAGAGCCGCCGGCAAAACTGGGTTGTAATGGACGCCCTGGGACTTGCACACCATCCACGTACAGAATTAGAAAATTAATTCCCCAATTTTTAAAGTCATAAGGGTTTCGAGTCTTATCACCATTGAATGAAGCATTATCAACAAAGCCGAGAATAACACGTTTTGGTAATTGTCCAAGAATAGCATTATCGATAGTCTCTCCACTTGTCCCACGATGAAGAACAAAGGATTTCACCTCCACACGCGTCAATGGATACTTTGCTGTCGTTTTAGCCAAAGTCTTGGCATGTGCAAGCAGAACACCAGGACTTAATTTTGCTCTTCTCACTATCAAAGAGGCTTCAGTAATTGCTATTTTATAATTTTTACTGGTTCTATCAATCAAACAGAATGTATCTTTAGACCGCACTAGACGCAAACGCACATCAACACCGTTCAATAGAAATTTATTTTGATTAAACACATCACAGTGGATGTGTCCAATCATTTCTACAACTTTTCCACCCTTTGTCATTCTCCATCGTTTCTCTATTCGCTGATTATAAACCTTTGTCTTTGTTGCTGTATCTTCTACCCCTCCTACAGGATAATCCATGCACCCTGCAGTGTCTTTTGCCTATAGTATGTTCTCTAAATGACTGTGTTTTGCATCCCAGCCATAATTCAATAATGTTTCAATGTACGCTCGATATGGATAGGCATTATTCGGTGGGGATACTAATTTTTGATTGAAAGCAACATCGATTTGACTAAAGAGTGAATGTAATAAATTATTGACAGGGCCCACAGAATCGTTTACAACACCATCATTTGTCACAATTTTTACCCTAATTTTAAGCATAGTATGAGGTAAATCAATGTACTCTTCTCCATGTCCCGGTATAATGAATTCAATCGGTGAGCCATCGGTGATGGAGGCGACAGGTCCAATGAGATTGTTCGGTACTCGTTTGTGTTGGCGGGATTGTGAATAAGTCGAGTTCAGATTTTGCGCACTCGGACGAGTGTAAATGCAGAAACGACATTTTTACTTTTTATCAAAAATATCGTGTACGGTACGCTTTTTAGTTTTCTTCTTTTTCACTGTTTTCCTCTTACGCATAGAATATTTTTTCCGGCTGCGGAGGGGGCGCGATGTCTTGCCTCTACGACGCTTCACACGTTTATGAGTCCGACGTCGTTTTGGCGATCTTTTATATCCAGATCCTGACATGAATTTCTCTAATTTATCAGTAGCCTTTCGTTTCAAGTTTATTCCAGATTCGGTCAGGCGCTTCTTCAATGATTCTTTCAGTGGTATCTGTCGTGAAGCGACGTCGTCCAACACATTGGCACCAGCACTTAATGCCTCTTTTCCAACCGCTACCGCAACGCGCTACCTAAAAATGGCAGTATACGGCGGAATAAGCCCCCTAAGAAAGCACCGATTCCGTGTCCTTTTTGATAAGGAGCTCCGACGTAGATCCGTCCAAATCGGTTGTATCTTTCAGCAGCACCAGCCCCTGCCTGTGTTTCGTAATACGCAATGTAATGAGACATTTTATACGTCCAGTCTTTTAAAATGAAGCGTAAGGCTT